TTCTTTCTTTCTTTCTTTCTTTCTTTCTTTCTCTTTCTTTCTTTCTTTCTTTCTTTCTTTCTTTCTTTCTTTCTTTCTTTCTTTCTTCCTTCCTTCCTTCCTTCCTTCCTTCCTTCCTTCCTTCCTTCTTGGCCTTTGAAATAGAGCATCAACTCATTATGTCCAGAGTTTGTGAAAATTCATCTAGGACATCATCATCTGAACATCGTAATCTGAGATTTTGCCTACATGAAATCTTAAGGTTTTATTAAATCATTGTGAAACAACTTCCTCTGTAGGTTACCTTATTTTTGACTTTGTGGGTATGTGTTCACCAAAGGATGAAGAGACTACCAAGATGGTGCCTCTAGTCTTCACTGAAGGCTTCTGGAAGGATGCCAGGATATTTGGGGCAGAACAACAGGAAAACTAAAAGGTGATGTAATGCTGATAGTTTAGTTCATGACTACATTAACTTTTAAGGAAATTCCATTAATTTTCCATTTCATATTATTTTCATGTTTTTAAGCATACTTGGTAATAATTGGTGAGTAAAGATTAAATCAGGGCTAGGATTATGATTAGGCAAATGTTTCATAATATGGGAAAAATAAAACCACTAATATCCAAAATATACCTTAATTTGTAAAAATTGCAAGACAAAATCAGTTTTATTCTTTTATTATATTTTTAATTAAATTTTCTTATTAGTTTAAATTTTATTTAATTTTTTTTTTTTGCTACCGGGCATCGGACTCAGGTCCTTGCGCTTGCGCAGCAGGTGGTGAAACCACTGAGCTAAATCCCCGGCCCCAAATTTTATTTAGCTTTGAGTCAGGGACTTGTTGTGTTGCACAAGCTGGCCTCAAACCTGCCATCTTCTTGTCTCAGCCTCCCAAGTGGCTGGGATTACCGGCAGGCATCATGGCACCCAGATTCTTATTCTAGTTTCAAAAAGTAAAATTTTCTCTTTGCTCTTTGGAAAACTTCCAAGAAAGAGTACAAGGTGATAAAATATCAATTGCTACAAATAAAACTGCTCAACAATGAAATTCCAAAGCTAAAAAGGGGTCCCCTGTTTCCTGATGTTATAGCTTCAGTTATGTGCTAGGAACTATGCTAAGAAACTTATGAATGTGACCCAAATCAGCTAATGGAATAAAAGAATAACAGTCTCAAGCCAGATGTAATGATACACACTTGTAATCCCAGCACCCAGGGAGGCTGAGGCAGGAGGATTGCAAATTACCTGGGCAACTTACTGAGACTGTTTCAAAACAAAAATTTTTTAAAGGGGCTGAGGATATCCCTCAGTGCAAAGGCCTTGGGATCAATCCCCAGTAATTACAGTAAAACAAAAACAATAATTTCAAGTGGGAATGATGAAAAAGTTCTGGATATGGATACAGTGATGGTTAATGTTACAGAAACTGTACTCTTAAAAATGACCCAAACAGTCAATTTTGTCACAAGAAAAATAGTCATGAATGCTTATTTTGTGTCAAATACCTGATATCATTAGCTCAGTCAGCCATCAGCACAATAGTGTGAGTAGAAACTCCTCCAGTGGTTTGGGAAGACTGCAGAGATGCCCCAAAGCACACGTGGTCAATGGCAGAGAGGAGAATTAAAGTGGGAGACCCCAGAGCTGCACATCATCACTGCTGCTCCTGCTTCTGTGCTCCTGAGAGGTGGCAGGTCAGGAAACCGGCCCAGGTGCTCAGAGGCTTTGCTTTCCTTTGTGCCAGGCTCTTTGCTTCCTTTCTCTGAAATCTCATGTGGCTTGGGACATTTACCCACCTCTTTAATGTCTCTTCTTGTTTCATTGAAAACTCTAAAATCTCTTTCCATGTAACGCCACATGCATTTTTGGCCAAAGTAGCTGCAGACGTCCTCCAAAGGGAAGACAAACATGCTCACATCCCTAGGTCAGTGACCAGCAGTTCCCCCTGCAGCCCAGCCATCTGGTTTCTGCACTGGATGTGGTGTGGTCTCCTCCTTCAGCCTCTGCTGATAAGTGGCCATGACACCGTGCCACACACCTGCTGGGTGGCAGTCGCTTTCACTGATGTGTACCAGCTCTATCCATGCCAGGCCCGATTTGATTTCCTTGTAATGGAAAGACAATTCTGAGCATGTAAATTAGATAACTTTACAAATAAAATGCCCAGAGAAGCATTGTTATCCCATTCTAATAAAAATTATATTGAAGCAGATAAACAGTAGAAATAGCCAAAATGATCATTATTTGAGTGGAAAATAAAATACTATCATTTACTTTTCAAAAAAATTTTTTTTCCTTGTTAGGGATTGAACCCAGGGCCTTTCTACTGAATTATGTCCCCAGCTATATAATTTCTTTTTTAAATTTTGAGACAGGGTCTCACTAACTCACTAAGTTGCCCTGGCTGGGCTTGAACTTGCAGCCCCCTGGTTTCAGGTGCGGGGATTACAGGTGTATACCACCATGCCCAGCTGGTTAATTTGTTTTAGGATATGATTGGGGTGAAGAACAGTGGGGATGGGTCGTAGAGCTGTAGTTCCTGTCTGGGCCAGCTGAGGGCAGTTGTTTTGGTGAGAGTGATCCCTAGGTTGTACTCCACATGTCTTGTGAATTGTCATTTTGAGTACTTAGAAGAAAGAGTATCTTTAGCACTTAATGGCCCAGTTATGGTGAAGGATGATAGAAGGCACCCAGATTGCTTACTGAGACTACTCGAGGTCCATGCTGGAAATGCAGACTCTAGTGTCCCACCTCAATCCATTGAGTCAGAAATCCCTTGGATAAGGGTTTCTTTACTTTTTCTCAAGAAACCCTGAAAATCACCACTCTATTGGCTTCTTTTCCAGTGGAAGGATGAAGTGGAAGACAATAAAAAGGACTAGGCCAAGGTTAAATGTGAGGATTTATGGGACGGTCATAGTCTCATGTAGTCTCTGATGTAGGATCCAGGAAACAATAATGAAAGAAGAGCAAGGAGATGAAGAGTCTTAGGAGGCTCTTAATTTACTAGCTTATTTAGAAATAACAAAAAATAGAAGCAGAGTTGAGGCAGACAAGCCATCTGATGGCAGGAACTTGGGGGGCCTAGGGGAAAAAGGGCCTGGGTTGGAGCAGGTGTCCTTACCATATAGCAGGTCCAGAGTATACCACAGTGCAGGATCCATGGGAAGGGGCTAAAGAGGCCACTGGGATGTAAGTTCTGCACCATTACAGCAATACAAGTTCCTCCGCCTGTCCTTGGCTTCAAGGTAAAATGTGTGTCTATCATGTCTCTCCAGGTAGTTGCAGTCACAGGACATTGTGTTACACACCCCACACTCAAGTTTCAAACTTGGGGAGATGGGCAATGCAAGAGGCTTTCTCTGAGTGTTCAACAAACTGACTTGCTTCATGGGATTGATCAAGGTGAAACCTATTTAGCCAACATTCTAGCTCATGGTGTAAGAGTATTTCAAGTATGAGGGTCAGAGTGGGTAAAGCAAACTTCACAGGCTAAGAAAAGAAGCAGTAAGGGAGTGTGTGTGTGTGTGTGTGTGTGTGTGTGTGTGTGTCCTGTACACAGGACAGACTACTGCAAGTTTGGAAATTTGGGATTGATCCTGAGGGCAATAGGAAGCCATGGAAAGATTTTAAGCTACACAGACATATGATTAGTTCTGTGTTGAGTCTAAGAAATACTAACAGTTGAGAACTAATCAGTTAATTAACTAGAGAATCAGAAGAGGGGCAAGTTAGGTGCTTTCTCGTTTGTTATGGAGAAAATAAATGCATATGTTGAGGAATTTCATGGTGCTTAGCCCCCTAAGTCACATGACTCAGTTTGGCCACCATCATTTTCTCAATCCCTGCTGCTCACATTTTCTGATGTTTGTAAGGCAAACAGATTTTCTCTAACTCCAAGCAGGATTTGAGAAGAACTGCTCTTGGGGTGACTTCATCTTTTGGAATTTTCTCATGTATTCTTCAAAAAATTCAAAAGCAATTATTACAAAAAGGAAACCAGTGTTAATGGCTTAAAAGTGTCAATGAATTTTCCATTTTTTTGCAGAGAGAAACACAGGACAAATAATCCATACACTGGTGAAGTTATTTATAGTAGTCAGTGGGAATCAAGTACAAGTATGTAGAAGAGACTGAGATTTTTCTGAATGTAACTTTTTGTTTGGTTTTGAGTTTTAAACCATGCTCATGGTTTCCATTTCCAGAAAATAAAATTAAATAAAAAATAAAGACAAAAGATGAAAAAGAATTTAACTTTGTATCAAATGGATAAAAATCACACAGTAGAAAAATTATTCATGTCATTTTGAATAAATATTCTGGATATAAGCCTCCAAAACTTAAACTGTAAAGAAATCTTGAATCTATTTAGTAAGTTGTTGGTAGTATATATTTTAGAACAGAGCAAATGAGTTAAAATATGGAGGTTGTTGGAAATCTGGGTGCATCCTGTGGGAGAAGGGAAATACCCACGTGGATAGGGAAACAATGAGTCTTACCTGAGCTAGCTCTCACAATGAGGGTATGAAATGGCAGCTTTCTATTCCTAAACTTCTTCCTAATTTCATAGTTCACATTCTTTCATAAAGAAGAGTGTTCCCTTCTTTTCATTTTTATTTTGTAAATATCAGATTGTATCCCCTCATATATTATAACCATTTCTGTCATCTGGCATTTTGATGCTCAATTTCCCAGTAGGAGTCTCTTCAAGCTACATCCTGTGTCCTCTTTAATACATTTTTTAAAAAATGAGTTTATATTTATACCACTAAGTTTATATTTATACCACTAAGACCAATACAATACTACAAAACAAAACAAAAAGTAAATCAAAAGAAGGTCAAAGTAAAAAGACATGGCAACTGAATGCAACATGAGCTCTTTGATTAAATCCTATATATGTGTATTTGTCTGCACATGTACACGTATATTGGCTATGTGAGATTGGCTAGGGACAAGAATTGGGAACTTAATTAAAGAAGGGTGTATGTTGGAGAACAGTATTATACCAACATTACATTTCTTGAGTATGATCATTGTGTGGTGGAAATGAGAATCTTTTTGTTCTTTTGAGATACTTACCTTAGTATCTAAGAGTGGAGGGTCATGATATAGAGTTAAAGCACCTAAATCTCAAGTGATATTTAAAAAATGTATGTATATAAATAAATAGAACAAATTTGGGGCCATGTGACCAACTAATGGATGTAGTTGAGCAGTAAGTATATGGGTGGGGTGTTGTTGCAATGCTTCTCTAAGTTAGAAATTTTTCAAAATGAGAAGTTGAGGAGAGAGGAAACATATTGGGCTGAATGAGAAGGGCTGTGGAAGGCATGGCTGGAGCAGAGCCATAAGCTTTAAATATCTGAGGATGTCCTCAAAGTTCCCAGAAGCAAGTGCTGCATGGGAAGGTGGCTGAATCTTGGGGCTGTGGGACCCACCAGCTTCGGCTTTGTCATGACGCACCTGGTTGTTTCAAACCCATTTAGGACATTATTTCATTTCATGTTCGTTCTTCACACACACAAAATTAATGTAATGTGCCAATCCCATCCCAAGCCCAATCACACAGTGAGAGGCACATTTATCGAGTCATTTGGCAAGACAGTTTTAGTCTAAAGCTCTGCATAAGGGCTTGCTGTTCTTCCTCATGAATCTTGCCATGGAATCACAGTTAAATGACTATGAGAGAGTACATATAAGGTATCCAGGGGTCAGCGGTGTTGTTTTTATCTGATGCTCACCACAGAGCTTCACACAAAAGCAGGTTTGCCTCACTGTGTCCCCTGCTGCCCCTCTTCTCCCCCAACCCCAGATGCAGATTTGAATTCTTGGCATCTTGCTCTTGTTTGATGTGCTTTAGGAGGCTCCAACTCTTGTTTTGTCCCCTGGAGTAAAGCAGCAACTGCTTTAAACTGATAACAACATGATTTCACTGCCCTATAGACAGTCATTTAAACTGTGTGATATGTGGCCACTGCCTTGAAATTCAAGCAATGGAAATGACATCATTATCAGCCGACTCTTTATGATGAAAAATGACCCACATTAGGAAACAATCTGAACCCAAGGAAACTTTGGTGATCAATCATCACAATTATAATGTGCTGGTCTTTTATGTAAATCCAACCCACAGTGATGCCTAGTTTGGGTGGGGGAATTGGCAGAAAAGAAATCCAGTGGAAAAAGAACATTAGTACAATGTAATTAAGCAAAAGGGAAAGCTGCAGATAATATATGGTTCTCAGGAGACCACTGCCTGCCTCAGGACCCTGACAAATCTAAGCTGAAAGGATTGCATCATCATCATTAAAAGCATTTGTTAAATGCCCAGAGCTACACAGAAATGGACTGGGCTTCGTGCCGAATAAAGCTGGTTGCATCAGGCCAAGGCCCTCCCTCCGGGCAGTGGAGCCTTCGTGGGCTGCCTGGGTGATGGGCAGCAGCAGGGGGCATCTTTTCCCTGGGGAAGCCATCACCATTACCATCACCATCACCATCACTATCACTAGAGGATGACAGTACAGCTCCGGAGGGCCTGGCTTCCTGTTTCTATTCAGTCCTTTCTGGCCATCTGTCTCTTTCAAGCTTTTATAGCAGCTATGTGGTGGCCTCAGTAGGAGTGAGAAAGGAGTAGGATCATCATCATGCACCTGCAGCAAGGCCCATTGCTTCTGAGAGCAAAGGAGATGTAGGCTTAGGTGATGAATCTTGATATCTGCAGACACAGAGCTACAGCAGGCCAGTTCCCAGTCCCCACCTGGTCCTTAAAGCCTGTATTTTGTCAGTGTTCCTTTCCCCAAACTTAGGAGGAGGGAGTGTGTGTTTGAGAAAATGCAAGGGAGAGGAGGATGGACAAAGAAATAATTGGTGTGGCTGCATGGGTCCCAGAAAACTGCTGAGAATAGACTAATCAAGGCTTCTCCAGGCTGTCTCCATGCTAGGCCATAGGAAAAACATATGGAAGTGAAAGATCAGCTGGCTGATACCCAAGGCTGCAGGCCAAAGCCAGTAAAAGATGGTCCTGGACTAGTGCATGTGCTAAGCATGATCATCACACATGACCTCTACCTGGTAATTCTGGGTCCTCTTCAGCTCTCTCTTTCTTTTTTTCCCTAGAAGATGTGTCTTCTTGACTCTGCCTACCAAACTTCCTATACATACATATCTTATCATAAAATCAACCTGGGTAATGAAGCCCTGGCCTACTTCCTCCCCTTCTCAGTACTCTCCCTCATGATGTAAATAAACCTTTCCCACCTGCAGATCCATCATTCTGACAAGTCCCTTGAGTTTCAACCTTCTACTGAGCCCCCATTCTCCTGACAGGGCAGCACCTTAAGCCTGTATAGTTTGTTCTCTGGGCTCTTTTTCATACAGCAGCTGAAAACAGGTTTCAAAAAATACAGGCAGGAGCAACCCAGAGAACTAGGCAGAAAGGATGGAGCCTGAGGGTAGGGGGAAATCCTGTCCAGCACGACTCCATGTTGACTGGGACTTGGGCACTGTGCTGAGGCTCCAGACCAATCATGTCGGTCAGTCCCCACAACTGACAAGACAGTGTGGGAGCTTTTCTTATCCCCTTTTGCACAAGAGAAGCCTGAGGCTCAGAGAGGCTAAGTGACTTGCTTGGGCCCACACGGTTAATGGGCACAGCTGGGACTCAACCCTGATTAGTTTGACTTTCAACACCTGCCCTTCACCATTGCCCTTCTGCAGGGGGAGGAACTGTGGTGGAGAGAAATATGTCATACTTCCGGGGAAGATTTGATCACAGTCGCTTGGCCACTGCTTGGCACCAGGTACCTGCATTGTCTCTGGTTGTATTAGGATGTGTGGTAGTGGTAGCAGGAGGTCACACCCCTCTAGAGAGACCCATGAGTTGGTTAGCAGAGGTCTTGCTCTGATCTGGTTGATGTAGCTTCAGAGTAGGTATGGGATCTCACCCTCACAGAAGCCAAGAACCCTTCCCAGGTCACCTTTGGACTTGTGATGCTAGCAGCTTCCTAATCTGACCCACCATGGCATTTTAAAAACTTCCTGTAAATGCCTAGCTGATTTATTCACCGAGATTAATGGAACCACATTTGGGATCTCTGAACTTCACTGGGCACACTCCCATTGGCCTCAGCTGTGGTCCAGTGGCTGCTTCCAGAGTGCTCTGTCAGTTCAGTTAGCCCAGTGAGCCTGTGGGGTGGATGGCCAGTGGTGGGGGAAGGTTGTGCTTTCTGCACAGGAAGCACCCCCTTGTATTATGGGCTAAAAAAGAAGAAAGAAAACCATTTTGGAACATGTTCTAAAGAATAGTCTTTGGGTTGCCCATCGAAGCTGACATCTGATCAAGGAGTTGTCCCTGTGGTATTTCAGTCAAAGAGCTAGGCTGCGTGGGAAGCCTTGGGTGGTGGCTCTGAATCTTTCGGAATGTCCCCCTCTTTACCTCACAGCTTCAAGTCTGAACTGGGAAGGGCCGTGTGGGACATTTTGCAATAATCATTTTATAGCTATGGTTTAAATCATATGTTCTGTGATGAAGAATCCATACATGGTTACCAGGAGTTATTATTCATTGTCAGTCTTGGCTTTGCAGGTTGTGGGAAAAGGGGAGGAACAAACATCCCTGGATCTGCTTTACCTGACCTCAACAGCATTGCTCTTTTGATCATTTCAGGACTTCTTTCTCACTCAGCAAGGAGGGGCACAATGGGGATGCTCTGAAAATGTTTTGGAAGGAATAAAACTAATTCCTTGTGGTTGGGAGCATAGAGTTGTGTAGAAGAACCCATCTGCTTCCATTTGTACATTCATTCGTAATTTTGGCAAGAATACTATTTTATGCCTGGGTTCTATGTAACATATTAATCTTGCCATGGTATCCCTATTCAACTGGCTGACAAAGTAAATCACCTTTCATGTCCAGTTTGCTTCTAGAACTGGAAGAGTGAAGAATTCCCCCAAAGTTCCTGGATTCTGTTTCTTTCCATTAAGTTCTTTTGCATATGGTACATATTCATAACAAGATTGTAAAACTAGAGGTTTTCTTCACGCATTTAAATTTTATCTGCTATAGAGCTTATCTATCAGGCAGGTTCTTAATCAGAGATTGGATTGGTGAGTGCTGGGTGTTCAGTGCGGGACTGGTTGTGGA